TCGGATATTAAATTACCCAAAACAATTTTTTCAATCGGAGGGATTCTGGGGATTTCTGTGAAAAAAATTACTAGATCTGGAGAAGGCTGGGCCTCAAGATAATGAAACGATCAATACTACAATATAATAAAAAATTGTTCGAAGAGAGATTAAAAAAAATTCGTGTTATTCCCCGCGAGGTGAAGAGGTTAACGAGTTGACCCAGTGAAGACGACTGGAACGAGTAAAAAAAATTGAATAGAATTGAAATGATCACCGGAAAGAGATGCCTCAAGGTGTCATTACCAGAAATGGATACACAGACGGAAATGGCAGATTGGCATGTTTAGAAACTGCCAGTGTACCTGTATATTCAATTGCCGAGGTAACACCCAGCGATTATAAAATGCGATATTACAATGTTATCCCTGCCATCAGCTTCTGTACCTCAGGTTTTTCACTGGACGCGCTATCCCGATCGGTCAAACGAGCTGTGTAATCTGTTGCATACCGAGAATACGCCTTCATAATGCGAGTATTTAAAAAAAATAATAAAAAACCTGTGAGAAATGAGAAGAGGAAGAAGGAATGCATCACTTTGCGGCGAATGAATTGAGTTATGTGAATAGAAAAGAGATAGAAATTGCCAGCAGGTGCGGATCTCTCCGTCGAGCCGAGACGTGACAAGACATTGCCATCAGCTTGGCCATTAGCTCGTCAGTTTGATTCACTCCAGTGAAGACGTGTGCTGTTTTAGACAGGGATATCCTCAGACCATTCTATTTGTCATTAATCCTCGGTAATTGATATAATGCACACACGCTCGTCAAAATTCCCTGAAGATTATCTGAACTTTCAATTGCTAAACGATAATGAATAACCGTGACAAAATACAACTATTGTCATTTTAAAAATTCACTGATTGTTTATAAAAAATTTGACGTCAAACGTAATTTAATTTTTTTCCAGACCAGTTTTTATTCGATATCTCGCAATCGATGGGAGGTATCGATTTTTTTGTAGATACCTTTTTTGTAGGTCTCATAATTTTCTAGGGAAAATGTTTATATAAAAAATTGGCTATCTTGCTTTTATTCGGAGGTATGGAGTGAAAATTGGGAGTGAAAAAATACTATTCTCGTAGTTTATCGTTTTGGTACTGATTTTGGAGTGTATTTTTATTCTGTTCGATGCTGAAATTATCAGGGCCACGCGCCATTATATTTCAGTACATATGTACCGGTTTGGTAAAAGGCAATCGGTGCCCCTCCGAAACGAGCCCGCAAAACACCCGTTGTACGCCTTGCTGGCGCTTTTCAAAAGATATAAATCGTCCCGCATTGCTTTTACCTGTTGCCATCGACACCCCTTCCCCAGTATTATTCTCTCTTTCAACGTACCACCAATTTTTCCCCATTTTCCCATTCAACTTCTACACGATTCTGCACCAATCGATTCTGTACTTCAATTCACTCGTCCAGAGAAAATCTCCCCTGGAGAAAATTAAACTTCACTAAACGCGAAGCGATTCAATACGTTGAAAGAGAAAGTTAAGAAAGTCGACTAGAAACTCAGACCCATCTGACCATGACTATCCCTGAAATTTCCATGGGATGTTTCACCTTTTCTCGTTTTCCATAATTTTCCGGGGTAAATCCTGAAAATTTTCATTGAAGGGAATGTCTTCCTAATTTTTGTGTTCAGACGAAATGATTAAAAATTGTTTTATTAATTGTTTAATTCTTTAACCAAAAAAGAATGAATAAATTAATCATTTAGGAATTATTCTACCGGGATGCTCTAAAAATAAAATAAAACATGAATAATTGGTAAAACATTTATTACATTGTTAAAAAATTGTCGTAACAATATAAAAAAAAATCCTTTCGATTGACGTAAGACGAATTTAAATAAAAACATGTCCAAGTCACCCCCACAATTTGAGCAATTCTATTTTTTTTCATTCGATGGATTAATGGAAATTCTCTCTTTGCTCTGTACCCACTGTTCGGCCTTCAGAGGTTGATCAGAGGAGAACATTGATCAATTGAGATCAGTGGGTGGTAGAATGGGGTGGAATGGGGTGGAATGAGATGGAATGGGATGGAATGGGGTGGCGGTTGAAACTGTAAGCTGCTTTGGAAAGCGATCGTACCGAACGTCGGAGGTCCAGGGCGATTAGGTAAACCCAGGATTAGTCGGAACGCAACCCCTTTAACCCCCCGGGCATATCCTCTGAGTGCATTCGAATTCGATAGCGTCTAGACCTCTTCCCAAACACTCATCCATCCCGTCTTCCGAAATCTCATTTACATCATCCAATTGTCATCATCTCAATTGCACCAAATGTCGAAGAACACTTGACACTGGCTCTTCAGGTCTTCCCGATAAAATGTTCAAATCCCCTGATCATAAACCCTCGGCCAATCTTCTCTTATACCAGATAAAAGTGTATGCACGTATCCGCATGCCGCGAGATTTTATCTTCTTCCCCAGAGAGTCGGCCCTTTGTGCATTTTTTGTTGGAGAAGAAGTTGCGTATTTATGCGAGGCGATCTTCCAGCAACGCCACCATACGTTTTACTCTCTTTCACTCGGTCCTTTTTTTTTTCATTTCTTTGGGCTTCAGTTATTCTCTCCCAGCGATTCATGACATACCTGAAAAGCGATGGACCTAGAGTCGCCTTGTGCATTCGATCAATAAATTATACGAGATCCCAATCGACCTGTCGTCCACTCTGTACTTCATCGTTGAGATTCTAGATGTTATTCATGGAGGAGTTATGTTGAAGGCAATGATTTAAAATATGAAGATGTCTCAATTTTTTTTATTCTTTGAATTTTAACCGTTCGGTTAAAAATTCTTCGGGGTAGTGCTTCATAATTTTGTTAAACTCATCCTCGTTGATGATTATCTCAAATTTTTCAGCGTTAATACGAAAATTTGTCACGGTACATGTTGTCTTTCTGTTCGGTAACTGTTGTCAGACTCCCAGGTGACTACTCCAGAGTTTCCCTAATCCCTCCGAGTGTACCAATTATCCTAGCCGTCCACTCTGCTCAGTGTTTCTCGGTTCATGCAAATTGGATTTTGGTCAGAGAGACAGTGGAACTCCCGCTGTCCGAAGACACTTTTATTGTCATTCCTAGGGAGTAATCCACGAAGTAGAGCAGTTTGGAATTGTGAAATTTTGGGGAAGGTCTGTCCCTTTGACGGACAGGGAACCGCTGTGGGTATCGGTTTCACTGAAACTACCGACAGGACAATGAAAAATTTGCCCCGACCGCTTCTTCAGGAGCCCTAATCACCGTCCGTAGGATCTGTTGTGTCACCGAGGTTGACCTCAGGTCAGTTCACCGTCTTCAGGACAAATCTCGACAAATCGTTGGTGCATCTTCTCATTGTCCATTTCTTTGTACTTTAACGTGTCATTAAACATTTATTCAACGATCTGGGGAATTCGTGGTTAAATGAGTGAAGTGCTTGCTGCGAGTGGCTGCTTTTCCATTGGCTTTAAAAATTCGGAAAATTAATTTGCAAAATGGAGTTGGCGGACTTTCTCGGTACGTCTTTATGGCAGTTCACCTGGGGTTCACCGGTGTTACATTTAATCCGTGGAAGAGCGCTTACGCGGATGATCGGGTAATTGGAATCATCAGGTGAGTGGAGATGCGAGAGGAAAAGAACCATTATACATCACTTTTTCTTATTATATTCTCGCAATTTTATATGATTTTTATTTTAAATACAGGGGGAATTAAATTGTTTGGCGGTGAGAGTTTATCGACCCAGCACGTACGCCGCGTACGTCAATAGGCTGCACTCAGTAGACACTTATCGATTTCACAAAATCTTCATTGACATTAATTAATAAATAGAAAAAAGATTATTCTTCAGAAGTGGTCATTATAATTTTCAGGAACACCGGCAAATTAGAAAGGTGCACTGAATTTCAGAGAGGCTTTTTGGTACATCTTGAGATAAATTTATAATGAACTTTAATTTCATTGACAAAAAACCACCCGCGGTGTTCTCGCCACACTTGGATGCGTCGATTAAATATGGACTTCCCAACATGGAATTGAATGAAAAAATGATCGAGGGGTTACTGGGAACTGCATTATAATCGTTTTCGATCGATGTCGGCGTCCTCATATATACGTGCCGGTACTACGCAACGCTAAACTCTCTCTCAAAGTGGAAGGATAAAGGTAAGAACTCAAAGCGGAAGTCAACAAGACGGCTCCGATGAATATTTATAAATCAGTGAAAAATATTTTTAAACCTAATGCCCTGTGAGAATTCATCTTCTGTGCATTAATCATTTCATCATTTCAGTACATACCAAATGGCATTCCCATTTAATTTATTTAATTATGAAAAATACTAGTCCGGGTAAAAATTGTAATCGGAATATTTTTTTCAAATTTTTAAAAAATTTTGGGAAAACTTTTCAGAATTTTTTTTTATGAAACAAAAAAATCGGAATTTTGGAAAATTTTTCGAAAATTTGAACAGGACATTTTTTTTTATTATTTAGATGGCGTATTTTTTGAGAATATTGAAAAATCAAAAAGTAAGAAAACAAGAGTTTAATTATTATAAAAAAAACTTCTGAAACAAATTTTTGAAAAATTTTTCAAAACATTTCCCAAAAGTAAAATTGTTTTATTTTGACGATTTTTTTTTTGTTTCAAAAGAAAAATTTGGAGAAAATATTCCGATTACAATTTTTTTTTACTCGAGAGTATTTTCCTATTCTCAGTATCTTTACGAATTTTTCTAGATGTTAGAAGATTTAATCTTTGAAGTCTGAGGTTCGTATGTCCTACTTTAATACAGATTTTGGCGGGGGCTTGGACTGACCTGGAGCAGCTGGCGTGCGGTAAGCCACCGGCCGCAACGTTGCGTACATCGTGCATCACACCGCCCACGGTATCAACCCCAACGCACCAAACCCCCGGGATTTCACACCGCACTAGCCATTTCTGCACTCATGGCACTGTCCACCACCGTCCAAGGACTAGTTATCGCCCACGTGAAAGGGCCACAAACTTTGGATAGTCTCTTTATAAACTCGATAAATTGTCCCACTGGTCCCACTATTCATCGATTTATTTTTTAAATGCTCCAAAAGCCCTTTAAATTCCCCAAACATGATGTTTTTTCTTCCGACATTATTTTTCTAGCAAGAGATATTCAATTTTGGAAGTCGACAATCACGAAAAAAATTCACGAAAATTGTCGATTTTCCTGGAATGTGAACCAGCAGTCCCTGGTAAAAAAAAATTGTAATCGAAATATTTTTTCCAAATTTTCGAAAAATTTCTGGAAAACTTTTCAGAATTTTTTTTTTGATACTAAAAAAATTGGGAGAGAAAACAATTGTATTTGTGGAAAATGTTTTGAAAAATCTTTCAAAAATTTGTTTGAGAAAATTTTTGTTGTAATTAAACTGTTGTTTTCTTACTTTTTGATTTTTCAATATTCTCAAATAATACGCCATCTAAATAATAAAAAAAATTTCCTATTACAATTTCCGAAAGATTTATCAAGACCTTTCCCAAAAATAAAATTGTTTTGCTCTCCGATTTTTTTGTATCATAAAAAAAAATCTGAAAAGTTCTCCATAAATTTTTTGAAAATTTCTAAAAAAATATTCCGATTACAATTTTTTTTACCAGTAGTGATAAAAATACAGGGTAAAATTCCCTGGAAAGCCCTTTTAATTCTGCAGATGTGTTTTTTTCCTGATCACTGCCGCTAATAAAAGATGATTTCCAAAAGTTTCTCAAGAAAATTTTGGTGACGCTTTTTGCTCACATGATTATCACCGAACATGAGTCAGTACAACGTGATGTAGTCAATGTACAGCACGAGCTCATATTCCACATAATGAGGGCGGACGAGAAACATCAAGAGACGCGCCACAGAGAAGGTTCGCGGTGGTAATTGAAATTTGCCAGAAGGGCTTCTCTCCCATCAGACGAGGCCGCCTTTTCAGGACAACCAATCCCCAGATCTCCTCCACACACTAAATTTTCGATTATCGGCCTTAATCCGCCGTTACGAATCAATTCCTCATACACGTATCGCAGATAAAGCAATCAGGGCCCCGAATTACTTCATTAATTTACTAAAAAAAAAAAGAACCTCAATACTCACATACTGACGATTCCAGGTGACCACATAATTGTCCCGAATTAACGTCACCATATCGGTGTCCATCGTCCAAGGTTTTCCAGTCGATAAAAATCGTGAAACAAAAAAGAATTATTCGATTATAAGTGTGTTTTCGTGGGATTAAAAACTTCCTGTTGAGTGGCCGAGTAAAAAAAAAAAGGGAGGAATAAGTTCGGGGCTCGTGTCGGAGTTGGCAAGCCAATCCGTCATGATCAACTCGGGACCTGTGATTTAATTGTCACCATTCGAGATACGCCTGTGATAACGGAGCGACGGGCCAAAACAGGCCTTTTTTTTCTTACTCAGTCCCCCTTTTTCTTTTTATAAGCCATTATTAAAACTCATATTGTAAAAACTTTTCATTACATTTATTATTTCCGAACAAAATAATTGTATCGAAAAAACTAGAGGTTTTTCCTCACAAGATGTTACAGCCCAAGAGCTCTTCGTATAGCCATTGGCCGAAATTTTTTTTTAGACTAGTTTTTCAATTTTCTTCTGTAAATACCTGTACATACTGTTGGACAATAATAAAATAACATTGTATATATAAATATATACAATACTAATGAAAAACATTCTGAAAAAAAAAATGGCCGAAACAGGAGAGAAAGCGAGTGAAAAAAAAAAATGATAAAATAGTCGCACCGCGGTTGCACGTGATTTCCGCGCATCACGAATTCCCTGGATGTGTTGGATTGAGAGGAACCGTTCAAATAGGAAATTAGGGAACAATGAAATAAAATTTAGAACTCGTTCGTCACTTTGTCTTGGCACTTGTGTTGTTCTCTATATGCCAGGGTACCCTGTGCACCCGATTCACTTCAGTAGAATATAAGTTTTAGATGCGTGGTGCACGAGAGAGTGAGTGTATGTCTCGTGGTTCTGTATAATTTGACATGTTGTCGTACACGTTATTATTCAGATAGATCTCGAGATACGCGGCTTGTCGGTTGAGTCTCTCTTTCTTCCCCTCGTCGTATTTCCTCAACTTCTCTCAGCCCCTCTCTTACCTCTTTTAACCTCTTCGCATCCTTTTTCAACCCCCGCATGTATACAACACAAGTGTCGTAACATGCACGAAGGAACTGACGACGAATTTAATGTCACGAGAGCTGAGAAACACGCTCCTCCTCGTTGCCACAAAATAGACCATTATTTTTTTTTTTTTCATTTTTTCCCATTTTTTTTTTCAGTCTTTTTATTGCTGCACGGTCTCTCCTCTTCCTCCAACTCTTTTTTTTTTCAATCTAAACTATTATTTTTATAAATATTGATGATAAATAATTAATCCCCCAGTCAATTAATTTCCAGAATTCTGGGATTTTTAGTTGGAATAAAAAAATATTGGAAATATTGGAAATATTACCCGAGTAAAAAAAATTGTAATCGGAATATTTTTTCCGAATTTTCAAAATTTTCTGGAAAGCTTTTCACTAAATTTTTCTTTTGAAACAAAAAAAAATTGAGAAACAAAACAATTATATTCTTGAGAAATATTTTGAAAATTTTTTTCAAAACCTTTCCCAAAAATAAAATGGTTTTGCTTTCCGATATTTTTTTCTCATAAAAAAAATTTTCTGAAAAAATTTTCCAGAAATTTTTTTAAAATTAAAAAAAATATTCCGATTACAATTTTTTTTACCCGAACACATATATATATATATATAAATATATTGAATATATATTTCTGGGAGAAGTGGGATATATTATTTTATTTCTCGTGAAAAAAATGGAAAGTCAAGTTCTGAGAGATGGGTGCGATAGGGATAGCCTCTCTAAATGTCACCGATTATATTAAATTGTGTATATTTCCCTTCATAATTACTTGAATTATACGCATTATGTAAATGGGTATGTTAATGCCAAGTACTCCTGCCTCTATTGGTCTCCGGTTAATCTCTCTCTATCCCGCCAAAAGTTCAAGTTCACCTTTCCTTTTTGCTCAACGCGCACTGCCGGGGATTACAGCAATTTCGTTTAAGCGCGCGCTAAATGTTACTTTATGTACTTTTTATATATATATAATGTACACCAAAAGGGGCGGAAGGTGAGTACCACCGGAGACTATAATGCGCCAGGATAAGGAGAAGGGTACATCATGGCAAAATGCAACCGGGGAAGTCTTTTTAAAAAAAAACGTCCTCACTTTATTTACATAATTTTTTAGATCCCTATCCAAGTGTCTACTTGAGGCAAACCGCCTGAAAAGCCCCGTGATCTATAAAAAAAACAATAAAGGAAAGAAATAAAACAACCAGGCGCTAGGTAGCTACTGGAATTTTGTCCGACGATTTAAAAAGCCTCATCAGGCTTTCATTCCATCGATTGGAAATAATCGAAGTTAAAAACGAGGACTGCAATTTTACCCGACAATTTTCTGTTCTGAATTAACTCATGGATGATAAGTATGTGATGAAAGTTCGAGGGACAGCAATTACTCAACCAATCTGTTTTCTTATTACACTTTTGTTTTAATTTTATTATTTTAATGGTCACATTTGCAGGAGCTCGTTCTCTCGATTTAAGACAAATTGGAAATTTAAGTGGTGAATTTTTAAATTCCCGAGAAATTTCAGTGAAAAATTCTCCCCTATCCTTCAATGTCATCACCAAAAAATTGTTTTACTTTGTTAAAAATAATGATTTATTCCTTAGCTTCAAAGAAGTGGTAAAAATTCTGATGTTATGAAAATTCGCGCGTTACTCTAGGATAAAAAACAAAAAATTCACCTCTCAGTGATTTCCCATGCAAATTGAGTTGTCCAGCCGTCATTATGCTAATGAAAATAATGACAAGAAGTTCCAGCTGCCGGAATGAGCCCCAAGAATCTGACGACGGAGTAATGACATCCATTCGATATTTGGCCCCTCCCCCCGCGATAAAATTGATATCAACCGATCTTCGAGATCAATCACTCTCGATTCGCGGTAACTGATGGTAAAATATCCGATAAAGAAGTAAAAAAAAATAAGAGGGTAAAAGATTTAGGAGGACTCTAGTGAAGAAGCCAACGGTTTACACCCTGCTGTCTTTTTTACGATCAGCAGATTCAGCAACCGCCCAATTACACTCGCCACGTCGGTCAGTTGTTATTCCTTAACGGGCCGTTACCAGCGGCATAAATGTCACCATTGTGACGCTTTTAATTACCCGATTATGACCACTGAGACGGTAATAATAGCAAGAGCAATTGCATCAGTGACAGTCTACTTGAGGATCGATTCGTGATTTAGGCATATGACACATGCGTTCAAACCGAGAAACACCAGCTGGAACAATTTAATTACACGATGTAATTAGCTCTTGGAGTTATACAGTACTGCATGGCTTTTTGTCACGAATGTTACCGACATTTTTAGATTTCTTGGACAAAATAAATCGTTGGATGTACGTGTTACAGCTGCTTGCCAGCATTATGCGAGGGCAACGGTGACGCTGATAAACACCGATACCATCGACATCGGTGGTTTATCATCGATACCATCTCTCCTCACTCACCACGAGGCTTTTCGTAAGTCATTATTACATATTACTCATTTCCTTCTGTATGAGAATTGACATCTTGCTATTTACCTCCCGAGACAATCGACTCGACCGATTAATATCGCGAATCTCTCGTCTTCATTCTATTTTTATTTCGCGCACTCACGCATTCGCGCATTTATTTTTTCGACAATATTATCACGATGAATAACAAACTTGGATTAGTGTTTCCCTCGTTTTGACGGCACCACAAAATGGTGTAAACAAGTGCAGGAAAAAATGTCCGTTCCCTCGATGAATTTTTTTTTTGTATGAATAAAGCAAAGTGACTGAGACGGTCTATTCCACCAGTAACATTTTTTTTTATCTGACTTATTTAATCAGTCTGGTCAGAGACCCGAGACCCTGCACGCGATATATATGCCATCCTCTTGTATATTTCTTTTTTCGTTCTCGCACTGGCGTTTTTTCTCAAACATTAACATCTGTAATTTATACATTTATTGCGCAAAAATAAGCGGATGGTGATAAGGCGTAACCGGTATTAAATGTACACAATTGCCACCTGGACGATTAAAATAATAGAGCGATCGTCAGATTGATTGGGGTTCAATAAATATTTTCATTACATCAGACTTTATGTTCATTCGATAATCGATTTAGCATGAATTTGGCGATCGACGATTGCTGATATCGAATGCAAAATATATAGAAGTCGCATGTGCGCGGGTGAATATTTTTGGTTATTAATTTTGAGGTAGGGGATCTGATGGGACCCCCTTGGGAGTGTCTTCTCTCCTTTCTCTAGGTTCTACAAGAGCAATAGTATATGCGTTATGAGACAATGGCCGCCCGTTGTGCTGATGTCTCCGACGACGTCTGGGACCCCCGTTGTGGGGCGCCGTTCACCTTTTACTTATAGAGACGTCAGTTATCAGCGAACCAATCGCACTCAACCAATGATCTTTACCCCGATCTACAGCCATTAATCCGCCAACGCTTCATAGACTTGAGATCCATTTAATCCAGGATTACACGCGAATCCCGCGCAAATCCACAATTATTTCATTTTTCCAATCCCCAGCAAAATCCGTAATTTTTCATGAAATTTATGTTGTTAATTCGTAATGGTAATTATTACCGTAATATTAATACTATGCATTACTATTTATTATTAATATTACTTTGATACTCACACCCTGATTGATGATATGTCCAAGCGATGTTGAAATTCCGAAGATCATGGAAGATTTGAAAATTAGAAAATGAAATTATTGCATGACTCAAAATTGTGAATTATTATTAAAATTGAAACACGTCATCAGTGGTAGGTAAAGAGAATTGATGACAGATAATGAGAGAAGAAAAAAGGAGTGATCTGATCGATTTCTCGGGATGCTGTACTCACGGATGACGGATCCTGAAACAAAAATGATAAATTCCCGATGATTTAGAGAAACTGACACAAAAATCATGAATGGATATTATTTGGCGATTCAGGATTCGTGCAAGAGTGTGACTACTTGTCTGCATGGGATTTCTCTGCATACGATTTCACATGCCTCTCGGGCGAATTATGCGGGCAAAATAATTGGAATGTAAACGGCGACGCGTACCTGCGACGAAACAGCCGTTTTATGCAGTGTCCCTCCCGCGCTTCAGCGAAATTTGCTCATTTGCAAGGGTTTTTTGTATACGGGTCGACAAACCCCTTCCATCCCCAATTCTCAAAGTTCCACGTATAGAGACGTTCCTCCAGGTTCGATCAATAATTTGTTATGCATACCCAGGACCACAGAAAATTGCGTTCAATTTGGTTTCTCCGTTGGGCTACCTTTTGCGCTTGTCAATATTTTTATTTCAATTTTTTTCTTGCCTGCTAAAAATACCGCATAAATATAGATGTACTCTTCAAACGGTCATTTTCTCGTGTTTAGCATAATCCCGAACACGTCACACGTTGCATCCTAATTTCAATGATTATTTTCAGGTTTTCGATTTTAAATAAACCTTCCGCCGAGGAATTCTGATAATCTGGCGTTTGGAAAATGGCGATGGGAAATGCTTGGGAATTGCTTGGAATAATTCAGTACAATATCTGGAATATTGATTTCAAATTCTTTCGATATTTTCCCCAACCGCAATATCAATTTAATCCTCATGAAAATAGCCGCAACAATTACGGTGTGGTTTGCGCTACCTGGAGAGTAAATTCTCGTGGAGTAATCGCAATCCCCTATTCGAAAAAACCAACTCCAGGGGGAGGAAAAAAAAAAAAATTGGAGGGAGGTAAATGAGTTGGGATGCTGGTGAACCAGCCGCAAAATCGCCCGGAGCCTCCACCACTGTGAGTTTAAACTTTTAATAACAAAGCGAGGGAGTATACCGTCGTTACGTTATGATACCAGAAGGCAAAGTGGTGTTATAGGTGGAGGGTTTTGAATTAAGAGAGAGGCCAAGTGGTGGCGGTTAAACCGCAGCACAAGCACCGACGCAACCGCGAAATTGCGGCCTTTACTCCATCTACGACCTGACCCCACGGAAAAGCCTCCATTGATGGTTTAAATTACTGATAAAATGTACGAACCTCTCAATTCTTCGGATTGCTATTTACGTACGTCAATTATTGCTATTGAATTTTCAATTCAGATCGAATGTTAAAAAAGTTTATTAAATTTCATTTTCATGGGAAATGTTTCAATTCATTTTTTTTAATTAATTCATTAATTTTTGTTATGATAATTGGAGAATGACAAGTTAGTGACTAAATTGTTCATAATTATTAAGGTTTAAATCAGGAGAGCAAAATAATTCATTTTTATAAAGTGAATTTATGTTTATATTTTATTGAAATTTTTAGTTATTTTTAGTTATTGTAGACGGACTTCCATGTTTAAGCAATTGTTGGAATATTATTAGTGGTTTTTAGCGATTTTTCAATGAATTTGAGAAAAAAAAAAACAAAAAATTTGTTCTCGCTCGGGGTCGAACCGAGGGCCTTGTGCGTGTTAAGCACACGTGATAACCGCTACACTACGAGAACTGGGATGAAATGAGTGGCCAACAATATTGTACTCATTTAGACCAAGTTGAATTTACACTGACCTTGCAATAAATTGCTCATTGCAAATTACAAAATGTCTTTGAACTTCTGGAGGAAAATTGCGTCCCGCAAATTTCCAAGACGTAGACCAGAAAAATCGTTCCATAATTTCCAATTATGTTAATAATTGAATTATATTCGATTTAATTATACCAATTATTAAATTTCCGGTAAATTAATCGGTCAATATTTAATATATCAATATAAAATGCAAAATTTGATTTTATTGGTCAGATAATCCAGATAAAAATGACGGAGCGCCGTAGAAAGATTCCGCGACTTCAGATAAAAATGACGTGACAGTTCCATAAAATTTCCTCCAACCACATTTCGCTCCAGAATCCCGGAAAAGGCACGTAATTTTTATTGAATATTTCTCTCCGTGTGGACCAGTCCGCGAGATTCTTAATTTTCTGGTATTATTTCTGTCCGCAGACGTAAAAAACGAAAGAAATCAACAGCGCGGGTCACAGTCCGAGGATTTGTCGCCCACGTTGCGTGTCATTACCGTCCACATTGTTCCCGGGTTGACACTCCCGGGTTGTACGAATAAAACGTGGTCCACCAGGTTGATATCACCCTGCCATCTACCTTTCACTCGACTTCCGCCAGTGATTCGTCAGAACCCAGTCTTTATTAATGATCACAACGTGCCGTCTTAATAGCCCCTTGACCGATACCCACAAGATTCCTTTTCTCTCCGAAAACCACGGAATTCCCATCACCCACCAAAAAACCCCCAAAATTTATAAATTGTAAAAAAATCGTGGAGAACACCTTCAATTTTTCAAACTTCCAAAGACCCGCGTCATCTTAGTCTTCAATTAACGGAGATTTAATGAAATTTCAATAAAAAATCTTCCCGAATTTCTCATCCTCTTGACAAGTTCCAAACATCTTTATAAATGTCCCCATTGATCCTTCGAATTGATTCTACTCTTCGACTTACTAAAAACTCCCCATAAAAATCAATTCAATTACGACTCATGCTGAGTCAAAAAATATTTTCCCATCGACTCCAGTAAAAATCACAGCGATCAAGTATAAACAATCAATAAAAATTCTCTAAGACTGTCAAGCATGTGTTGGTGCAATTTGTCGACAGGTGACACACAGCAAAATATATTCTCCCTTTTCAGAGAGAAACATGGCAAATTGAATAATTTAGCCTTTATATTTGTCGGGCAATTTTCTCCCCGGGTTTAATCATGCAATAGAAGTGGAGGGGTTGAGGGGGGGGTTAGATACTGAGGGGGTGGAACCCGCTATAAGCGCGGGCTCGAGCCGTCATTTGTCAGGAGCTGTCGCGGCAGGAACGTGTTCCTGTTCCACCGGCGCAGATAGCGGCCCATCCATGGGCCGTTCATCTTTATTCCTTTATATACAAGTATATAGGCAATTCTCTCCTATCACTCTGTCTCCCTCACTCCCCTCTTTCCACCTAAAACCGATCGTACGGGTGCCCATCCCCCTATACGTTTTACCCTGTACACGACTCCCTCGAACTCATTTAATTACAACAAACAATTTATTAGGTCCATCCGGGATCCGCCCACGGGCATAAAATGGCGCTGTGCGACTGCCACACGTTTTCGGTGGGATTTCAGAATATGCCAGAGGGAGGGATATATCCCGTCAACCAAAATTCCCACTTCGGGGGTGGCAATCCGATAGCATCTGTCGTCCATAAGGGGTTGCATATAATCACTGCAATTGTTGGGATTAAAAAAGAGACTCATACTCCGTGCAATTTCAATTATCAAAGAATGACCCAATTTTTTGCAAATCCTGAAATTTTTTACGGGTGAACATTTTTTTTCGGATTCAATTCCGTGAAAGTCGACGTGTCGCGAATTCTTTTAGAATTCAATGATTAGTAATTAAACAATTGAAAATTCTGCAATAAGTTGTAAAACTCACCCCCAGTTCGCGTGCACGTGTCATTGTAAACAGAAAGGTTGGTTGTTATTCGTCTGATAAAAATATACGGTGGAATGATTTCCTGTTGCTGTTCGGTGTCTATTCGTGGGTATATTTGAGAATGTACCCTCTGGTTGTTACCAGTGAGGCAGATAACAACACTGCCGGTGTCTTCGGCTCATAGAGAAACAGTATGTAATACAAAGTTAGACTAGCGGATGAATGCCGAAAGGAGTTGGACAAGAATCCTCGTGGCGCCTCATTTCACCCAAGTGAAAATATCGCCTCTTGGCACTATTATAGTACCCCCCTTATTGTACCCCCAACCGCCCCCCCTTCAACTGCCCCCCCTTCAACTGCC